CCTAACCTGTTCTTCCTCCCACCTATCCCCTCCTCCCACCCCAAGCCGCACCTCCATCTCCTACCGACCAACCTCATCCCGCCCCCTTGACCTGTCCGTCCTCCCTGGACTGACCTATCCCCTTCCTAACTCCCTACCTACACTCACCTTTCCTGGCCCCATCCCCGCCTCTTCGACCCGTTTGTTTCCTCTCCACCTATCCTCTCCTCTATCCCTCTTCTATCCGCCTCCCACTCTCTCCCTATTTATTTCAAAACCCCCTTCCCCTCCCCCTTTTCTGATGAAGGGTCTAGGCCCGAAACGTCAGCCTCTCTGCTCCTATGATGCTGCTTGGCCTGCTGTGTTCATCCAGCCCTGCACCTTGTTGTCTCTTATTTATTTATCTCACTGTTTGTGCTGTTTTTATAAAGCTATTAGGTTATGACCACTGTATTCTTTTAAATCATCACCTTTACATTTATTGCTTTCCCCACTTCATTTCAACATCAAAATACACAAGTCATAAGGCATATTTAACAGAACAAAATAGCCCAAGGCATTTCACAGGGGCATTATAAAACAAAATGTGACAGAGTTAGAAGTTAGATGTCCAAACTTTGGTCAAAGATCTAAGTTTTAAGAAGGGCTTTAAGGAGGAATTCAAGGTGCAGAGATCAGGCAGTTGGGGTGAGGTGGGGCTTTGGTATTCAAGAGTTTAGGGACTGCTTGACTGACTGTGGAACCAAAGATGGAATGGTTAAAATCGAGCCTGCTTGGAAGATCAGAGTTAAAGTAATGCAGATTTCTTAGGTTATAAGAGTTCAGAGCAATATAGAACAGCATGACCACAGAGCAATTTTAAAATCAAGAGATCGCTTAACTAGGAACCAATGTATGTCAGTGATAGATGGATGGGATTTATTCTGAGTTAAGGCAGAGGCAGAAATGTTCTGAATAACCTTAGGTTTACAGAGAACAAGGTTCAGAACCACCTTTGTTGGACTAAATACAGATGGAGAATTTCCACATATTGAATTGCACCACTTACAAAAGAAGATTTATCACTGATCTGCCACTGTTCTGAACAGATACTTAAACAAGTGGATTAGTTTATAGATTAATTTATTACGCGTCCATCACAGTAATAATTGGCTTAACTTAAAGTGACCACATGGAAACCCAAATGTAGGGGCACTGGAACAGGAAACTGCATGGTGATTTGACAAAAGACGTTTGAATTTTGCCCCTATGCAACAACATGCATCAAAGTGCATGTACTCAAAGTGAATCAGTAGCCTGTTTCCTACTGGAAACTTCAAGATCTCTTAGGAGTTGAACCTTAAGTCCCCCAAGTAGTCGGTGAGTGGAATAACAAATGGGTGATAAACAAACCAGAGGAGTCTTAGCTGGACCAGATTGCAGTGTCTTCCTCTGCACATCATCTTTGATCTGTGAAAACTAGGAGCAAGATTCAAAATGTCAGGAAGCATCAGCTACTCCACAGTAAAGATTTTTGGCACAGGAATGAATAAATTAACCTACTTAGGGCTGCAAATGTAAATGAATACCTTATTAATGAAATTCATTAACATTTAAGCTCCTTCTTCAATAGTCCACTGTCACATGTTGTCTGTGTGATTTTCAAATGTCAAAGCTTTCCTAGATGTAGAGAATTAGAAATTGTTTATCTGAATATCATTAATTGCAAGAATACCAAATAAAGATGTCAGAATCAGAACTATGTACATAAAGTACATCCTCTTAAATTGTAGTTTATAATTTTCAGAAAATGTTCTGCTGTTTACAGTGTTACAGGAATAGGAATGATCTTCTCTTTCCCAAAACCAAACATTACAGAGGTCAGCTATAATGGAATAATCACACATTTTTCCACGTTACTAAATAGCCAGTCCCTGAGAGAGCTTAACCCTTAACTCTCAAAAAAACTCATTACTACACTTACCTGAAATTTCCAATGATGCTGTAAGAAGACAGAGGGTGGTGATTGATGGGAAATGTTCATCCTGGAGTTCAGTTACCAGTGGTGTACCTCAAGGATCTGTTTTGGGGCCACTGCTGTTTGTCATTTATATAAATGACCTGGATGAGGGCGTAGAAGGATGGGTTAGTAAATTTGCGGATGACACCAAAGTTGGTGGAGTTGTGGATAGTGCAGAAGGATGTTGCAGGTTACAGAGGGACATAGATAAGCTGCAGAGCTGGGCTGAGAGGTGGCAGATGGAGTTTAATGCGGAAAAGTGTGAGGTGATTCACTTTGGAAGGTGTAACAGGAATACAGAGTACTGGGCTAATAGTAAGATTCTTGGTAGTGTGGATGAGCAGAAAGATCTCGGTGTCCACGTGCATAGATCACTGAAAGTTGCCACCCAGGTTGATAGCGTTGTTAAGAAGGCGTACAGTATGTTAGGTTTTATTGGTTGAGGGATTGAGGGATTGAGTTTCGGAGCCATGAGGTCATGTTGCAGCTGTACAAAACTCTGGTGCGGCCGCACTTGGAGTATTGCGTACAGTTCTGGTCACCGCATTATAGGAAGGATGTGGAAGCATTGGAAAGGGTGCAGAGGAGATTTACCAGGATGTTGCCTGGTATGGAGGGAAGGTCTTATGAGGAAAGGCTGAGGGTCTTGAGGCTGTTTTCGTTAGAGAGAAGAAGGTTAAAAGGTGACTTGATAGAGACATACAAGATGATCAGAGGATTAGATAGGGTGGACAGTGGGAGCCTTTTTCCTCGGATGGTGATGGCTAGCACGAGGGGACATAGCTTTAAATTGAGGGGTGATAGATATAGGACAAATGTCAGAGGTAGGTTCTTTACTCAGAGAGTAGTAAGGGCATGGAATGCCCTGCCTGCAAAAATAGTAGACTCGCCAACTTTAAGGACATTTAAATGGTCATTGGATAAACATATGGATGATAATGGAATAGTTTAGGTTAGATGGGCTTCAGATTGGTTTCACAGGTCGGCGCAACATCGAGGGCCGAAGGGCCTGTACTGCACTGTAATGTTCTATGTTCTATGTTCTATGCTTGTATCCTTTTTCAAATAAGACAGGTTTATCAATGCCAACTGACATCCAATTATGGTAACTTTATCCTTGCTTAAAGTGGATTAAACAAATTCAAAATTAATTTCATCTTGTACTTAATGGAAAAGAAACTTACATCTCATTTGACTATTTTTAAATCCACATATCAGGAAAGGGGCAATGTTCCAATTCAGTGAACAACCATTCCCATCAGTATAGTACATTTGTTTCCACTTCCATAATGCATTTGGTAAACTATCAAAAATTATGACCAGCAATCTGTAATTGTGTTGTCTCTTAATCATCATTCGCAGTTGTATTCTGGATAAGCTCCCTGAAATACAACCATAATGTTATAAGCATATTGGAATTATTCCCTTCCAACTTCCAATAGTTTTATTTAGGTAAGCTGGACAAACTTTTAAAAAACCCTCACACTAAAACCTGATCTTACATCAAATTTCAGAACACCATCTAAATGTCAAAGTTGTTTCTCCAGATTTACTTGTCTGAATCAGGAAGTGTTGTGGTACAATGGAAAGAAAAGAACTTACCATAGAGGTGAAGATAGTTTTTGTTTTCTCATGCTCATCTGTTATTATTGCTACCAAACCGGGATGAGTAGTACTCACAATGTAATGAAAATACAGGATATTTTTAAGACAGAAGTGCTGATTTATTGTACATTTAGAAACAATTCGAACATACTTTTGTGAAACAGATTAGCCCAAAGCTAAAAAAAGTTAAACACATTAACAAGCATTTAAAAATGAAGTTACAGTTATTCCTCGCATGATGGATGCAATATAGTAAACATGAACAGATTTGCTTTCAAAGGTTACATTTAACAATATTGACCAGGAAATGTATGTAACTTCACAAATACCATTAATAACTTACCAAACTGCAAATAAAATGGAATTGAATAAATAACTTGCCTTTAGATATTTTCATTTTTTTTTGTTTGACATGTCCCTAATATTAGTGTGCCTTTTTTCTCTACGATTTCTTTAATTTATTGCAATTTAACCTGGTTGAAGACTTAATTCTTTCTTTAAAAAATGAACAATGAATTAGTCTATTATTGCACTGACTACAATCCAGTAGTAATTTGGTTCTCAGTAAATGTTACGATAGAAAAGTAAACATTTAGAATGAGGCTAGCATGAGCAAGCAGAAAGGAAAAAAAAGTCTAAATTATATACATTCCACTTAAACACCAGAAAACGCCACTCAACTTGGAATTCGATTTTAAGTGTGCAAAACATTACAGTTCTATATAAAAATATGTGCATTATGAAGACATAATTAAATTATTTATCACTAATACATAATTATTTATATATACATGGCAAACATTACATCACTGTACAGTTCTCATCTTTTCTGCACTTGTGCATACTGTGGCTTTGCACAATAAAGTGCCTGTACACACAAATCTGACTCAAATCAATGTGATTGAGCTATGGGAAGCTACTCAAGTTCCATTGAAAAAAATGTTTGCATATCCCTTTTTTTTGCATCTCCTTACAAAATCCTTGAAGCAATGACAAGGGATCAACAAGTATCATTAGACAGAGTAATAATCTCCATTTTACAGTGATTGATTGGTATAAGTCTTTTCTTCCTCCAGAAAATTTATCTTCCTCAGCTATACCACAAGATCATCTGTGTCTTCTCGTGTGCTTGTCATACGGACAAGCCCCCGCTTCCTAAGAGGCGTACTGGTGACGCTAAGCACCTCTTTACTATTTTCAGGCCTATGAATATCAGGGTTTTCACTTGATGCTTTTAAATGGTCTATTTTCTTCCGTTTGGAGGCCAGTAATTCTACCCTTGAATCTGCAGAGATACTAGAAGAAGGGGTTGAGTGATTGCTGTCAGAAAACAGGTCAGATAAACTGCTTAATGAACTCACATCTGAGTGGTCGAATGATAAGTCTGGAATGGTAAGATGCTTGCTTTGACAGGGCTGGGGAATTCGTTGGTCTGTTATTGAGGTCTGACTCCCAGGCTGCAAATCTCCGAGTTCTAGAGAATCTCTATGAGCCATGGATTCAAAGGATAGTGTGCGCTTGCGTAAATGCATCCTGGCTTCACACACTGCAGTATGAGAAGTTGGCCCACTTTCACTCTCCATGGGAGGCTCTATTGAGATACAAGGTGGACTCATTTTTTTCTTTCTTTGAGCTGCAAGGATATACTCAGAATCTGACTGGACATGGACAGAAGGCTCTCGCTTTTCTTCAGTAGAAAATGGAACTTCTAACTGTAGATTTGAATCTTCATCGTCAATTGATGGACATATTTCAATTGAATGTCTCCTTAGATCGTCTGCCCAAGAAGGCTTCGCCAGTAATCCCTGCGCGTCAACACTATAGAACTTCTTCAAGTCTTTTTCCCTTCCAATTCCTGTCAAACTTGCTGTACTGTTAGAGTTCTTTAAAGCCACAGTCGACAGGTTAAGCGAGAGGAAAGGTGATAATGAAAGGCTTCTCACTTCGGACTGTCGCTTCCAGTTTCTCATTGAGCTGTTGATGTACCTCACTTCTTCATCGGCTGGATCCACAGAGTTGAGAAAGGAGCTTGCTGGGCTGTTGCTGTCACTGCTGTGACTGGGCGAACGGCTTGGGATACTGCGCTGGCTGTAGACCTGCCTGTGTGTGCGCACACTCGATTGCTTGCTGCGTTGTGTCAACAGTGGCGAAGGCGGAGGGGTGACCTTTGGAGACAATGGAGTGGAGTACATTAATGGTGGAACCAAGATATGATGAGGTGAAAGTTTTGGTTGCAGACTGTCATTAGACTCTAGCTTCAAGCTGTTCTTAGATTCCGCATTCACAACATCCACTGAGTCATTTCTGGCAGACTCCTGGAATGTAAGTAATCACAGAATATCAGAGCAAATTCTCACTGATAGTGTTTCATCATAAATATTTTGTGAAACTTTTGATTCTGGCTGTGCAGCAGCAAATGGAGTTTCTGTCGCCTTGCATTATTAAACTTCATTGTGTCTCCCACACCAACACCCCCAATTCTCACCAGGTTTTCAATCCCTCTCATAAAGGCCGTAACTCCTGAAATAGTATAAAAAGAATGATACATTTAATAGAGAGCTTTCATGTCCTCAGGATTTCTAAAAGGGCTTTGTGGCAAATTAAATTTAAAAAAAAAAGCCATTTGCAAGATTTGGGCATTTCTGACAAAGTTGCCATTTATAGTTGCTTAAAATATGCTTTCATAAACTCAGTGACTTTAGAAGTCACAGAGCAGTTAAGTGTCAACCCAGCCATTGAGAAATTTGGGTCACATAGATCAGGGAGGCTCAGTTCATTATGAACCTTTTAAAATAATCAATAGCTTCATGATCACTTCCACAAATACTTCTTTTTAAATTTCCATATCATTAAAAAACCCTGCATTCAAATTCATAAACTGCCTCGATGGCGATTTGAACTCATGATCAGTCCAGGACTCTAGATTGTCAATCCAATTACAGTTACTACACCATCACATCCATACTTTTGAAAGAAGTATGTAATTTTAATGTCGGTTCATGAATGGGATAGTGCCTGGTTAATTTGCATGTTTTCTTGTTGATAGAGGAATAAATGCTGGCTAGGACACTAGGTAATCTTCCTCCCTATTCTTCAAACCTTTTACATCTATGTAACAACTCTGCGGACGTTCAGTTTAACAACCACATAAGAACAAAAGAACTAGGAGCAAGGGAAGCCAAATCAGCCCATCAAGCCTTTTCTGCCATTTGATTCGATGAGATCTTATCTCATCTCAGTCTGAACTCCACCTCCCTGCCTGGTCTCCAAAATCTTTCACCTAGAAGATATCGTAGCACTTCTTCACTCAAATGTCAGCTTAAATTATGTGCTCAAGTCTCTTGATTTATGATGGAACTTAATGGCCTGGAATTTTGTAAAGATAAATGGATGATGGCAAGCGTTCATTACACTTGCACTTGTCCAGGCACAGGAACTTGTTGTGATTAGAAAGCTATTTCTGCATGGCACCCTCTACTGAAAATCTGAGTCCTGTATGAACAAGACTGTGCATCTCCATAATTAGATTGAGGAATATTCTACATAGGTGCACAGGGTGTCAACCAGGAAGTGTAAATTAAAACATTTCATCCAATGCCAAAACATATGCAAAAAGTGGAAGATACAAAGAAAGATAGAATCAAGAGAATGGTTGAGATAACTGAGAAGTAAAAAAATGTTATGATTTCTAAATCTCAAACCATAAATCCATTTTAGAAAACACCCTGATTCCATGAATAAATAAAAAATATGATGATCGTTTGCACGGCCACCGTTACTGAGACTGACTTTATATTCCAGATTGATTAACTGAATTCAAAGTTCACCAGCTGCCAGCGGGAATTGAATCCATGTCTCCAGAGCATTAACCTTGGCCTGTGGAATGCAAATCCAGTGACAACCATTACCATCTCCCCCAATCAGTTCCTGATTTCTGTAGTTAACTGGCCATATGCAGTTAAACAAAACAATGAGTATTGGTAACAAGGTGTAGAGCTGGATGAACACAGCAGGCCAAGCAGCATCAGAGGAGCAGGAAGGCTGACGTTTCGAGCCGAGACCCTTCTTCAGAAATGGGGGAGGGGGAAGGGAAGGGGGTTCTGAAATAAATAGGGAGACAGGGGGAGGCAGATAGAAGATGGATAGAGGAGAAGATAGGTGGAAAGGAAACAGACAGGTCAAAGAGGTGGGGATGGAGCCAGTAAAGGAGAGTGTAGGTGGGGAGGTAGGGAGGAGATAGGTCAGTCCAGGGAGGACGGACAGGTCAAGGGGGCAGGATGAGGTTAGTAGGAAGGAGATGGGGGTGGGGCTTGGGGTGGGAGGAGGGGATAGGTGGGAGGAAGGACAATTAGGGAGGCGTGGACGAGCTGGGCTGGTTTTGGGATGCGGTACGGGGAGAGGAGATTTTGAAGCTTGTGAAGTCCATATTGATACCATTGGGCCGCAGGGTTCCCAAGCGGAATAGGAGTTGTTGTTCCTGCAACCTTTGGGTAGCATCGTTGTGGCACTGCAGGAGGCCCAGGATGGACACGTCGTCTGAGGAATGGGAGGGGAGTTGAAATGGTTCGCGAATGGGAGGTGCAGTTGTTTAGTGCGAACCGAGCGTAGGTGTTCTGCAAAGCGATCCCCAAGCCTCCGCTTGGTTTCCCCGATGTAGAGGAGGCCACAACGGGAACAGTGGATGCATTATACCACATTAGCAGATGTGCAGGTGAACATCTGCTTGATGTAGAAAGTCTTCTTGGGGCCTGGGATGGGGGTGAGGGGGAGGTGTAGGGGAAGGTGTAGCACTTCCTGCGGTTGCAGGGAAAAGTGCCAGGTGTGGTGGGGCGGGAGGGGACAAGGGATTCCCAGAGAGACTGGTCCCTCCGGAAAGCAGATAAGGGTGGGGAGGGAAAAGTGTCTTTGGTGGTGGGGTCAGATTGCAGATGGTGGAAGTGTTGGAGGATGATGCGTTGGATCCGGAGGTTAGTGGGGTGGTACGTGAGGACGAGGGGGATTCTGTTTTGGTTGTTATTGCGGGGAGCGGGTGTGAGGGATGAGTTGCGGGAAATGCGGGAGACATGGTCGAGGGTGTTCTCGACCACTGAGGGGGGGGATGTTGCGGTCCTTGAAAAATGAGGACATCTGAGATGTATGGGAGTGGAATGCCTCATCCTGGGAGCAGATGTGGCGGAAGCGAAGGAATTGGGAATAGGGGATGGCATTTTTGCAGGAATGTGGGTGGGAGGAGGAGTATTCTAGGTAGCTGTGGGAGTCGGTGGGCTTGAAATAGATATCGGTTTCTAGGTGGTTGCCAGAGATGGAGACAGAGACGTCCAGAAAGGAGAGAGAGGTATTGGAGATGGTCCAGGTGAACTTAAGGTTGGGGTGGAAGGTGTTGGTGAAGTGGATGAACTGTTCGAGCTCTTCGTGGGAGCACGAGGCAGCGCCGATACAGTCATCAATGTAACAGGTTTAGAGCCAGTGTAGGTTCAGAAGAGGGATTGTTCCACGTAACCTACAAAGAGGCAGGCATAGCTTGGGCCCATGCGGGTACCCATAGCCAACCCTTTGTCTGTAGGAAGTGGGAGGAATTGAAAGAGAAGTTGTTGAGAGTGAGGACGAGTTCGGCTAAGCGGATGAGGGTGTCAGTGGAGGGGGACTGGTCGGGCCTGCGGAACAGGAAGAAGCGGAGGGCCTTTAGGCCATCTATATGGGGAATGCAGGTGTATAGGGACTGGACGTCCATGGTAAAGATGAGGTGTTGGGGACCAGGGAATTGGAAGTTCTGGAGGAGGTGGAGGGCGTGGGTGGTGTCACGGACGTAGGTAGGGAGTTCCTGGACCAAGGGGGAGAAAATGGAGTCGAGATAGGTGGAGATAAGTTCGGTGGGGCAGGAGCAGGCGGAGACAACGGGTCGACCAGGGTAGTCAGGTTTGTGGATTTTGGGAAGGAGATAGAAGCGGGCGGTGCGGGGTTGGGGAACGATGAGGTTGGAGGTTGTGGGTGGAAGGTCACCTGAGGTGATGAGGGTGTGGACGGTTTGGGAGATGGTTTGGTGCTCAGGGGTGGGGTCATGATCAAGGGGGCGGTAGGAGGTGGTGTCGGAGAGTTGGCGCCTGGCCTCGGCGATGCAGAGGTCAGTGCGCCATACGACAACTGCGCCTCCCTTGTCCGCCGGCACCTCCCCCTTACTGTCAGTCCTCAGTAAAGGGCTCACCATTGTCCCCCTCCACCCACACATCAACGAATACTGGTCACGTTTGGACATGGACCAGTTTTTCCAACGCCTCCGCCTCCGCGCTTACTTCTTTAACCGTGAGCCTAACTCTCCCTCAACTGACCCCTTCTCCCACCTCCAACACACCCCCTCCTCCTGGACACCACCCCAAGGCCTCCTACCCTCCCTCGACCTCTTCATCTCCAACTGCCATCGAGACATCAAAAGACTCAACCTCTCCACCCCTCTCACCCACTCCAACCTCTCCCCCGCAGAACATGCAGCCCTCTGCTCCAATCCCAAACTCACATAAAACCCGCGGACAAGGGAGGCACAATTGTAGTATGGCGTACTGATCTCTACATCGCCGAGGCCAGGCGCCAACTCTCCGACACCTCCTCCTACCGCCCCCTTGATCATGACTCCACCCCTGAGCACCAAACCATCATCTCCCAAACCATCCACAACCTCATCACCTCAGGTGACCTTCCAACCACAACCTCCAACCTCATCGTTCCCCAACCCCGCACCACCCGCTTCTATCTCCTTCCCAAACTCCACAAACCTGACTACCCTGGTCGACCCATTGTCTCCACCTGCTCCTGCCCCACCGAACTTATCTCCACCTATCTCGACTCCATTTTCTCCCCCTTGGTCCAGGAACTCCCTACCTACGTCCGTGACACCACCCACGCCCTCCACCTCCTCCAGAACTTCCAATTCCCTGGTCCCCAACACCTCATCTTTACCATGGACGTCCAGTCCCTATACACCTGCATTCCCCATACAGATGGCCTAAAGGCCCTCCGCTTCTTCCTGTCCTGCAGGCCCGACCAGTCCCCCTCCACTGACACCCTCATCCGCTTAGCCGAACTCGTCCTCACACTCAACAACTTCTCTTTCAATTCCTCCCACTTCCTACAGACAAAGGGGGTGGCCATGGGTACCCGCATGGGCCCAAGCTATGCCTGCCTCTTCGTAGGTTACGTGGAACAATCCCTCTTCCATACCTACACTGGCCCTAAACCCCACCTCTTCCTCCGTTACATTGATGACTGTATCGGCGCTGCCTCGTGCTCCTACGAGGAGCTCGAACAGTTCATCCACTTCACCAACACCTTCCACCCCAACCTTAAGTTCACCTGGACCATCTCCAATACCTCTCTCTCCTTCCTGGACGTCTCTGTCTCCATCTCTGGCAAACACCTGGAAACCGATATCCATTTCAAGCCCACTGACTCCCACAGCTACCTAGAGTACACCTCCTCCCACCCACCTTCCTGCAAAAATGCCATCCCCTATTCCCAATTCCTTCGCCTCCGCCCCCAGGATGAGGCATTCCACTCCCGTACATCTCAGATGTCCTCATTTTTCAAGGACCGCAACTGCCCCCCGTCAGTGGTTGAGAACGCCCTCGACCGTGTCTCCCGCAACTCACCCCTCACACCCCCTCCCCGCAATAACAACCAAAACAGAATCCCCCTCGTCCTCACATACCACCCCACTAACATCCAGATCCTCCGACACTTCCACCATCTGCAATCTGACCCCACCACCAAAGACATTTTTCCCTCCCCACCCTTATCTGCTTTCCGGAGGGACCACTCTCTCCGGGACTCCCTTGTCCGCTCCATACTCCCCACCAGCCCCACCACACCCACCACTTTTCCCTGCAACCGCAGGAAGTGCTATACCTGCCCCTACACATTCCCCCTCACCCCCATCCCAGGCCCCAAGAAGACTTTCCACATCAAGCAGATGTTCACCTGCATATCTGCTAATGTGGTATACTGCATCCGCTGTTCCCGCTGTGGCCTCCTCTACATCTGGGAAACCAAGCAGAGGCTTGGGGACCGCTTTGCAGAACACCTACGCTCAGTTCGCACTAAACAACTGCACCTCCCAGTCGCAAACCATTTCAACTCCCCCTCCCATTCCTCAGATGACATGTCCATCCTGGGCCTCCTGCAGTGCCACAATGATGCCACCAGAAGGTTGCAGGAACAGCAACTCATATTCTGCTTGGGAACCCTGTGGCCCAATGGTATCAATGTGGACTTCACAAGCTTCAAAATCTCCCCTCCCCGTACCGCATCCCAAAACCAGCCCAGCTCGTCCCCGCCTCCCTAACCTGTCCTTCCTTCCACCCCAAGCCCCAACACATCTCCTACCTACTAACCTCATCCTGCCCCCTTGACCTGTCCATCCTCCCTGGGCTGACCTATCTCCTCCCTAACTCCCCACCTGCACTCACCTCTACTGGCTCCATCATTGCCTCTTTGACCTGTCTGTCGCCTCTCCACCTATCTTCTCCTCTATCCATCTTCTATCCGCCTCCCCCTCTCTCCCTATTTATTTCAGAACCCCCTTCCCCTCCCCATTTCTGAAGAAGGGTCTCGGCCCGAAACGTCAGCCTTCCTGCTCCTCTGATGCTGCTTGGCCTGCTGTGTTCATCCAGCTCTATACGTTGTTATCTCAGATTCTCCAGCATCTGCAGTTCCTGCTATCTCTGAAACAATGAGTATTGGTAACTTCAGACTAATTTTGACTCAAAATCCAAATAACATTTTTTTTAAATCAACCTGTTCAGATTTGCTATGACATCTCTGGAGCATGTGGGACTTGAACCAGGGTGTCCTAGTCCAGAGATAGGGACACTACTACTGTGCCACAAGAGCCCATCCCGGTCACTAGCTTTCTTTTGTATCCAGAAGTGCTCTTCCAAGTCATCAAATTATCTGTGGTATTTTTGTCCAAGTTCACTTGAAGTTATTGTGGCTCAGGAGTTACACAGATTTTCTGGGCTCGAAGATCAGCTAGCAAACTCTTTCAGAAACTCTGCCTCCAATCAAGGGACATTAGATCAGGAAGTGGAGGCTATGAAAGCCACCCACTGACCTTACTTCAACTCCTTCAGTTCCCCCTTCCACATATCCTTCTCTGCAACATTCAGCCCTTCTCATTCACTTTAGAACTCCTTAAGGATCTAACAACAATCTCTGTCCAACTCTCTGGAACACAAATTTCAACAGTCTCCACTCTCAACGGCGCTGCCTGTGGTCCTAAATCACGTGCAATGTTCAATGCTGAGCAATTAAATGCTCGATAGGTGAGCAAGTCCCACACTGCAAACATTAAATCTCGCCACAAGAGTGGGAATTCTGTTCAATTCTTTTCTTGCCCCATACAACACCACCCCAAACCCCACCCCCACCCCCCAAAAAAAGGATACTGATCCCTTAATAACAGTTCAAACATTGCACATCACCAATAAATACTGAAACATAAACCTAGAAACTTGGTGACACTGAATTAATTCCCAAGATGTAAAATGGGCACCAAATGTCCAAACTGGCAGGGGGTTTGAACAAGCAAATTCTGTGCCAGAATTAGACATTAGCTGCCTCCCCCACCTTGTTTGATACCTCTAATGCTAAAGGAAACTTGGACCATGATTTAAATAATCTGTCAATTTGCTATCAACTAGTTTTGTGTAACTCAATGAGCCAAAATTGGATGCAAATATTACTGATTTTTGATCCAAGTTGAGCCGACATGTTTCAGTGCAAGATGCGAAAACCTTTTAACAAAATCTATGAATACCTGTCTATGTAGCAGCCTGTTAAAACTGGGTGATCTCGGTGGTCTCTTTGGAGGAGGGATTTTAGGGAGAGTGATGTGGCTGGTCGAAGCAAAGCTATGATGAATTACCTCAGTGGGAACTCCAAGACACGTAGAAACTTCAGCAGGCTGGGACTGGACTGAAGTCACAGACCCTAAAAAAAAATCCAGATTAAAAACAAAACCCTGAATGAAAATAAAATCTTGAAACCAAAGAAGTGTTTCACATAAAAGATTATTTTAATTTTTCCATTAACTTCTCCCTTTTTGGGGACATTTAAAACTTTTTGTTTTCAATTTGAATCTCGACTTTGTGATCATATATTTTTAAGCCTATTTATGAGAAACCATATTGAGTTACTTGGTTGCCTATGCTTCCAAAATTAATAGGTTCAGATGGAGTCAAGACAGACTCCTGAAAGTTTAATGCAAACTGTTAAGATTGTCCTCTCAAGTCTGACTCAGACAAATTGCCCAACAAATCCACTGATAGACTGTATATATTTTAGTGGGCCCAAGGTTGGGATTCCCTAAAGCAGGAGGTTCAGGTCTGAGGCCCTCAGTTGGGTCCAGGTATACCACTTGTGCAAGCAAGCTTGGTTGAAAGCACCAAAAATAGGACTAATTTGGTGAAGACCGGATTTGGGGTTGGAACGGGGAAGAGTCCAAACTTGGATAAATCTATGCTAAACTTGTGAAAAGAGACAGGCGAGCAAAAGACCTTTTAAAAAGCATTTTAAGAGTGACTCCCAGCTACGAATTCACAGGGCCAACCAAGTTCTTCTCTGAAGAGGGCAGGGGAATACCCATTGTTTTCTGTCCCCACCCCAGATCATAGTTGTACCCTTGAGCCATTGAAGGTCTGTTCTGGATAGTTTTCACCCTGTTTCGACAAACAATAGTAGAAGCAATGGAAGAGTTCTACAACAGCAGCAGTCCTGTCATGACGCTCAGATTTTCTAAGCTGTGTACTTTAGACTGATACCCATATGGTTGGCTTTCAGATTAGTTAAAGAAACACAAATTTTTAAATAACTTTTGACTAATTAATTTTTTTCTAATTTCGCTTTTATTAAACAAAAACACATTGGTGACATACCCTGATGGGGATCCACCTCATGCAGCGGATAATGAGATTGGGCTGATCTAACTGGGCGAAACATGTAGCTGTCGTTAGGTAAGGAATGCATTCGAGACACAGAAACTTTCCGAACAGTAAGCAAATTTTCTGTTTGATTCTCTCCTATTATTTTGCTGTATCGAGGATCTTCCTGTTTAAAAATAACCAGAGAATATTGGAAATTATTCATGTAATTCAATATTACACTGGCATTAGGCAGCATCGATGCACATGGAATAAACCAGCAAAAAAAAACATTGCTTTCAACATGACTGGAACTGACTACTAGTGAAATACAGAGAACCTTATAGAGAACTATCAGAGCTAAGACATGGAATTAAAAGCCCTTCACAGTTACACAAAAGTATTTCATAGCAGTTAATTGATCATAATACTGCTGTTACCAACAGTACAGTCATTCTACAATTAAGAGCTTAAAGAGAGAAACCCATCAAGTACAGGTTCAGTGCATTAAAGCAATCAAACAATATACAGACACATTTACTGAAACATGGAACAAATGAGCATTCAACAAGATACAGCAACAGCTAAGATGAGAATGAACGGGGTGCAGTCCAGGTCATAAGGGAACTCCTCTGACAAGAGCATATCTCAGCAAGTTTTATAAAGAGACACTGTGGTAAGGCTGAGCACACAACACATAAAATTGAGAACAGTGCACAGCAGCCTGAAGGAATTCCAGCATTTGTGGATACAGAGGGTTGAGATGAACTTTCCCTGGGTAATGTGACGGACCAAAAGAAAGAATTCAATTTCCTTTATAGTGTAGACTTGCAGGATGAATTTTGTGCAAAGAGTAATGTGAATGGCAGAAAAAATATTTTAAAGTAGATAAGGGAGAAGCAATGGTTGTATCCAGGAATCTTCAGATCATCCTCCATTTAACTTTGACACTTGTACTGCCTGAGCCCCAGGGCTCAAGGTCAAGGTGTGCACTAACATTCTAAACTATTACGGTTATTCACAGGAACAGCTATTTGTATACCTTTAGACATCCTTTGGTTGGCAGACAGAGAAGACACTCCAGTCTTAACATTAGAAGACAATGGGGAAGACCTTACATTTCTTTTGAAAATGGAATGGGAATCATCAGGAAAAGATGGCACCAAGGAAGGCAATGGCCAGCCACCAGACAATATTCTGGACAGTGGTGTATACTTTTCAGATTATAGTTACAGAGAAAAAACAGATTGTTCATTTACTCAAATCTGAAAGTTTGGGCCTTTCTGTACCTTTAGATTAAAAGGGGCATTGCTCCTGAACTGCTAGGTCTCTCTTTTGATGAAGAGCAGTCCTTTTGAAGAAGATAAAGAAGATAATTGTCTATTTATTGTGCAGAATCTGCCCAGGCGATGCAGCAACAGTAGCTGCTCCCCAGGTAGATAGCCAGATCACTTCTGGGAAACAAGGAGGGTGCTAGCTCACTCTGTAATGAAAGCAAGTGGAGATCTAGAAATTTCTACAGCCAGCACTGTGACCACAGAATCTCAACAATTATGAAGCTAGAAATAGATCTTCAATCATGCAACAAAGTAAATCTCAGAGTTCAAAACAAATTCCAGACCACTGAAGGTACAGTCAAGGTGGATGGTGCCATACCTACACCAGGCAGAAGTCAACTGTGTAACAAATATTTGCAGTCATACGTAGAAGACATGAAAAAAAATAAACTTGAATGTTTGGAGAAACACATCAATTGTCAGCAAAGGCTCAGCAAGAAGCACAACAACTTAAGTACCTAATAATATATTGCATAAAGAGAAAGAGATCCTTTTGTCCAAATGGATCATGTTTATAGCTAACTACAGAAATTGTTGATCTGCATAGATGGCAGCTAGATGCAATAAGAGAAACTCATCAGCAAACGCCCGCCTGCCAATGACCCCCCAAGGATGCATGGCCATAAACCAAGAGAAGCGGTAGCGAGCATTTTTCAGTCAAAGTCTGCAATATTAGGTTATTAAGGTTAGAGAGACACACAGATTGTCTTTTCCAACTTTGAAGTTGAAATAAGCTTGAACAACTCAGAATTCAATAAGACTTCAGTGAGATTTAGCAGTCAAACAGTGCAATCAAGTCTTGCAAGCTGAAAACTCAGACAACTAGTGACATAAGAGATATTATAATGGAGGACAAAGCTGCTTTGTTGCAGAAATATTCAGAACTCTTAAGATCACAAAAGTGAATGCTTAGCTAAAGAAAGCTGTCTGCCACAGTAAATAAGCTATTATCTAGTCCTACAAAGATAAACACTGGAGAAAGAACAAGAGCCTTAATTGTTTTCTTAACGACAGATCAACTTCAGAAGGAGACTGCAGTTCCTACTATCTCAGAAGGACACTGTCCTTTGACATAACTCTGCAAATCATTGTGTCAAACAAAGGCTTCCTATTAGTCCTATTTTGGCAGTTTACACTGGTCTACATGATGGTACATTTCTACTTTCTTATGGAGTCCCAGAGTTGCCTTGCTTACATATTAGCTGTCTCATTTTGCAGCAACTGTTGAATTGATACAACCACCTACAAATGAGAAACTCATTATAGCCTGTCTATTTGGACATAGGCCAAGTCCAAGAAATATATAAAGATGGGAGGCGGGTGGGGGGTGCTCTCATTTACTGGATCCCCAACATCTCCACTACCCCCCACCTGCCAATATCCCGCTAAGGATGCGTGGCCATAGACCAAGAGATAATGAAAAGCCTTCCATGCCAAATCCCCATTGGAGGAAGGGAGGTCCCCTGTGTATGTAGCCTTCCTCCAGTGAGCAATGCCATCTACAGATGGCAGGGTGGAACTCCATGGCATCTTAAATAGCCAACAATCAAATAATTAGTTGCCCATTTCTTTAACAGACCACTAACAAAAAGAAAATAAGATACATATTATATTAAAATAACATGACTAATAGTACCTATTTAAACAATTCTGAAAGAAAATAATTAAAACAAGTTAAGAACATAGAACATAGAACAGTACAGGCCCTTTGGCCCACGATGTTGTGCCGACCTATTATCCTACTAAGATCAAACTACCCTGCATACCCTACATTTTACTATCCTCCATGTGCCTATCCAAGAGTCGCTTAAAAGTCTGTAAAGTATCTGACTCCACTACCACTGCTGGCAGCGCATTCCACACACCCACCACTCTCTGTGTGAAGAACCTACCTGTGACATCTCCCCTATACCTTCCTCCAATAACCTTAAAATTATGCCCCCTCGTAACAGTCATTTACACTCTGGGAAAAAGTCTCTGGCTATCCACTCTATCTATGCCTCTCATCATCTTGTAAACCTCTATCAAGTCATCCTCCCTCATTCCAATGAGAAAAGCCCTAGCGCTCTCAACCTTTCCTCATAAGACATGCCCTCCAGTCCAGGCAGCATCCTGGTAAATCTCCACTGCACCCTCTCTAAATCTTCCACATCTTTCCTGTAATGAGATGACCAGAACAGAACACAATATTCCAAGTGCGGTCTAACAAGAGTTTTATAGAGCTGCAGCATAATCTCACAGCTCTTAAACTCAATTCCCTTGCCAATGAAAGCCAACACATCATATGCCTTCTTTACAACCCTATCAACTTGGGTCGCAACTTTGAGGGATCTATGGATGTGTACCCCAAGATCCCTCTGTTCCTCCGCACTGCCGAGAATCCTGCCGTTAACCCTGTATTCTGCATTCAAACTCGACCTTACAAAATGAATCACTTCATACTTTTCTGGGTTGAATTCCATCTGCCACTTCTTTGCTCAGCTCTGCATCCTGTCAATGTCCCGTTGCAACCTACAACAGCCCTCCATGCTATCCACAACTCCACAAACCTTCGTGTCATCGGCAAACTTGCTAACCCACCCTTCCACTTCCTCATCCAATTAATTTATAAAGATCACAAACAGCAGAGGTCCCAGAACAGATCCCTGCGGCACACCATTGGTCACGAGCTCCAGGCTGAATCCTTTCCATCTACTATCACCCTCTGTCTTCTATTGGACAGCCAGTTTTGTATCCAGACAGCCAAATTTCCCAGAATCCCATGCTTCCTTACTTTCTGAATGAGCCTACCATGTGGAACCTTATCAAATGCCTTACTAAAATCCATATACACCACATCCACTGCTCTACTTTCATCAGTGTGTTTTGTCACATACTCAAAGAATTCAATAAGACTTTTGAGGCATGACCTGCCCCTCACAAAGCCATGCTGACTATTTCTAATCAAACTGTGCTTTTCCAAATAATCATAAATACTATCTCTCAGGATCCTCTCCAATAATTTGCCCACCACAGAAGTAAGACTGATTGGTCTGTAATTTCCAGGATTATCCCTATTCCCTTTCTTGAACAAGGGAATGATATTTGCCAGCCTCCAATCTTCTGGCACTGCTCCAGTGGACAGTGAGGACACAAAGATCATTGCCAAAGGGGCAGTAATCTCTTCCCTCGCTTCCCGTAGCAACCTTGGGTATATCCCGTATGGCCCAGGGGACTTATCTATCCTCATGTTTTTCAAGATTTCTAGCACATCCTCCTTCCTAACAACAAGCTGTTCGAGCATAGCTGCCTGTTTCATGCTGTCCTCACAAACGTCAAAGTCCCTCTCACTGGTGAATACTGAAGCAAAGTATTCATTAAGGACCTCCTCTGACTCCGCACACAAGTTCCCTCCACTATCCCTGGTTGGTCCTACTCTCACTCCGGCCATCCTCTTGTTCCTCACATAAGTATAGAAAGCCTTGGGGTTTTCCTTGATCCTACCCGCCAAGGTTTTCTCATACCCCCTTCTAGCTCTCCTAAGTCCATTCTTCAGTTCCTTCCTGGCTACCTTGTAGACCTCTAGAGCCCTGTCCAATTCTTGCTTCCTCAACCTTAAGTAAGATTCCTTCTTCCTCTTGACTAGGTGTTCAACATAAACTGTCACTCTGAATTAACTAGTGATAGCCCTTTAAAGGATCACTTTAACAGAAATAAAAAATTCAACAGAAATTTATCAAATTAGATTAAACTGTTGTTGGGGTTTGGGGAGAAATGATGCAGTTCCAGCTCTTGTGGTATCCACTGCTCACTGTAGGCATCAAGCATACTAACAGACAATCATGCCGAGTAGGCCTTTATCCTCTTTTTA